CCGCTGCTGTGGCTTTGCTCCTGGTGCCCCTGGTCTGCTGGGGACCGACTTATGTCAGATCCGCGTAAGTCGGGGACTGCCTGTAGTCTATATGTTATCAGAGTATATTAACTATGTTGGCCCCAAGATATTAGAGAAAAGAGGTGTTGGACCATCTCAGGCCCACCAATGGGGGGGAGTGCAAATGGGCAATTGCACAAGGTCCAGCATTTCAAATGGGCCTGAAGCTTCTGGGTGCCATGACTGCTATTTTGTCAGATCCGCGTAAGTCGGGGACTGCCTGTAGTCTATATGTTATCAGAGTATATTAACTATGTTGGCCCCAAGATATTAGAGAAAAGAGGTGTTGGACCATCTCAGGCCCACCAATGGGGGGGAGTGCAAATGGGCAATTGCACAAGGTCCAGCATTTCAAATGGGCCTGAAGCTTCTGGGTGCCATGACTGCTATTTTGGCAGCGGAGGTGGATGGAGTTCCAGTCCCCTTTGAACTGCCACGGGAACACTGCTCTGACACTCCATGCATTTTTGAGGGCCCTTTGGTGGGTCTGACCATATTGTAGTGTTATGTGGTATACTCCACATATTCATGTTTCCCATCCAGGTGAAACGAACCAGACAGGTTCTTGTGGGTCAGCTTCAGGAGAAACAGTCCTTTGGAGAAGTGAGCATTCTTCTTCAGGTCCCTTTCACATGCAGAGTCATCACAGCGACAGATGTTAAATTGGGCATCATTGAAGCCAGTGCTATACTAGGTAAGTGTTATGGGTTCCTTTATTTTCTTGGCATGTTGTTATCATCAATCAATGATGCAAGAAATAATGGGTGAACCTCAAAAAGATGTGAATGTCTTTCAATTCAGATATAAATATCCAAAATGTGGCCTCTATCCAACCCTTAAGTGGACCATTTAATTGAATTTTCCCCTCACCTCTGTTTTGCCAGGATTCTTTGGTGTTTGTCAACAGGCCATGCAGCCCATGCATGCCTCTCACCTTCAACACATGCTCCCTGTTTCTTTCTTCTCCCACAAATACCCCCTTAATTTCTTTCATGGGGTTAATCTTATTAAACGGTATATATTATCACATGGCATCATAGGTGGTGGTTGGTTATGGAAATATGATAAACTGTATAATAATAAAGGAAGGATGAAGGGAAATCCATCAGTTGACAGTAAGCGGTATTTTCGTTCTTGAATAGTTTTCTAAAAGTGTTTCTTTGCCTTATTGCACTGATATCACTTGATGTTAGTTATTTTTTTTCTATACTGATTACGTCATCTGATTCAAGTCAAATGCATACTGGTCTGTTTTATGTAAATTCAACATTTCACACATGAAAGTGCTTCTTCCAAGCATATATTAAAGCCATTTTTTTTTCCATTTGGCAGACTCAAACTCCAAATAGGCTGTACAAGGATTTTAGCACTGGATAGATTTCAAAATGTATTCCACATTAAGCTCACTTGTAACTATCTCCTGTAAAGATGTTGTAATGGTGTTCATAATTAGTTAAATATTCCCTATTCTGGGTTGAGTTTTTCAACTATATTCTTTGTTTTTCTACAACGTGCTAAAGGATATGGCTTCTTTTAATTTAATAAACTGGGTTTTATGGGTGTTTTCCATTAGGCATTTTAGTTGGACATCTTAAAACAAAGAAACAAAAAAGGTTAAAACAACTCTATTGCAATAACGTGCTAGCTATACATGACTTTCTAATAAGACTCTAAATTGATGGGCATGTTCCCCCTGAAAATGTGCTATGTTTTGCATGGTTAGGAAGTTGGTGTATTTTGACTGTTGACTATTGCAATAATCAGAATCATTTCACTCTTACCTATTGTTCCTATCTTGTGCTCTCCAGTGTGGTCATTGAATCTACTTGTTGTGTTTTGCCTTACGCTTAGAATTTTCTTTTGCTTATGTATCTTTTACAACAGGATAGCTACCCCATCTTTAACAGACTACATCGTGTTTAACTTTTAAATATCCATCAGATCCATCATGCTTAATTTGTAAGTGTTAAGAACATATCTTGTATTTGGACATGCATGACTTTACAGAGAGTCTGTAGGTGTAGAAGAAAATATTACATGTCTGGTTGTTGGAGTTCTCGTCTTTGTTTCTCTTCTCAGACCTTCCTACCAATTTTCCTCCCTCTTCATTTATTTTTATGGTCTGAATTAGACAGGGGCAATCTACAGGATGTTTCATATAACTGAGATTTTAAACAGGTTGTTTTGCATCTGAATTTCAGCACTCTGAACAGGTAAGCTCAAAATCATTGTGTCCTTTACATTAATAATATTTGGACCCTAAGATGCTTAGTTTACAGATACACCTGTAGCAGTTGTTCTATAATCTTCTTGGATCTCACAAATTGGCTACGTCTACACTGCAGGCTTTTTGTGCAAGAACATCTGTTCTTGTGCAAAAATTTGGCGGGTGTCTACACTGCACGTGTGTTCTTATGTAAGTAAATTTACAGTAAGGCGTCAGAAAACAGAGCTTCTTCCAGAAGGGTTATTCCTCTCCCCATGAGGAATAAGCCTTCTTGTGCAAGAGCTCTTCCACAAGAAGGCAGTGTAGACTGGCAACATGATTTTCTTGCAGAAGAAACCCCTATGGCTAAAATGACCATCAGAGCTTTCTTTCACAAGAGAGCATCCACACTGCCGTGGATGCTCTTGTGCAAAAGCACATCTCTTGTTCAAAAGCACATGGCAGTGTGGACGTGCTCTTGTGGAAGACCTTTTGCACCAGAACTCTTGCGTAAAACAGGTCTTGCGCAAGAAGCCTACAGCGTAGACGTGGACGTTGTGTATTATTTTAATTAAGTGTTTGGTTCTTGGATGAGAGATTCAGGGAACTTGTAATTTCTGCAAGAAGTGTTGTTCCTCATTTGATAGGTGGCACGGTTCCCTTGGAATCTGTATTGACCCAATGTGTCAATAAAGAGCTGCATTTCATTATTTTAACTAATACATGTTGCCAAACTTATCCATGGTAGAAATCCTAAGACACTTTATGTAAGATGATGGTTGTTAACCCTGTGGCCCTGCCTAATTCTTATGTGGGTAATTGCACTGTGCCTGCTTAAATTCTCTTTGCAGATTCAGTTGGAAACAGTTTCCTTTTGTTACTTCTTTTAATAAATTATTGTTGTAAATCTCAGAGGTTGCTAAATCTCAGTAATAGGAGAAGATAACCCTGTACAAATCCTTTATTTGTCCCAGTGAGTGCCATGTGAGTGTATTAGATAAATTTAGAAATTAATATGGCAACTACCTCAAAATTCAAAGCAAAAAGTATAACAAACTACTGCAGAAGTCCAAAGAATTATTATCTATTATTCAATGTGTTTATGGAATAGGAACAATTGGAAGCTTTATCTGAAAATATCTGTATCTGTTCAGTCAGGAAATCATATGAAATCTTGCAAAAATAGTTGCTGGCATGATTTCCAGTATTTTCTAGGTTCAACAAGATAAAAAAAACCTGAGAATAGCTGTACCTGCAAAATTTTGGTTTCCCTCATTTTGTCCAAAGCCTAATAAATACAAAAGTATATTGGAAAAAAATGAAAAATGTTAATGAGTTTTCTGCAAAAATTGAAGATAGTTCTAACTTTCTCAGAGGTAATTCACCCATAAGAATTTTCTTTTTTTTAAATGGAAATCTCAGATTGCCATCAAGGGTGACTTTTCAGATACTTCCTAACCAATACCTAGTTGTTCTCACATACCACTTTATGATTTGATAAGTAGAAATGCCTCTTTTTGAAGGTGTTCATGATGTATAGATGCAAGGCTTCTGTGAAATTGACCAGCTTTTGACTGCTTTCTCATACTCAAAGTGTATAGTCCGATGTAGTTTTCTTGACCTTCTCCTGTACCCACCTTGGCATTGAAATCACCAAGCACCACCATGTATGTTGTTTTCGTCTGAAGAATCTTAACAAGTTCTTCATTGAACCTTTCTACTTCTTCATCTTCCACAGTGGATGTTGGTGCATAGGCTGCAATTATTTTCATGGTGACCTGTTTACCTTTGCTCATTGTGAGCACTCTGAAATGAAATGAAAAAATTATCCATGAAATGATGCTTCCTGCCACTTTTAGGGGCACAATAAATCCAACTCCATCAACTTTTCCTTCTGCTGCATCCGAGAGAACTTGTGATTCAATCTTCCAGTTATTTACACGTCTGAATGTTCATTTTAGTGAACAGATGTGTAAATAACTGATGTTAGAAAGCAAGAAAATGTGTAAAGTTGATATGCATGACCATATCCCCATCATTCTACATTATGGGTATGTCTGCACTTGCTCCCTAGTTCAAACTAGGGAGGCAAATGAAACATATCGAAGTTGCTAATGAAGCGTGGGATTTAAATATCCCGCGCTTGATTATCATATTCGCAGCTGGTCGCCATTTTAAAAAGCCAGTAGCCCAAATTAACTCGCTGTGTGTAGAAGTGGTAGTCTGATCCAAAACCCTTCCCTCGAATTAACTGTTACTCCGTGTCTACACGCGGTGAGCTAATTCGGGCTACCGGCTTTATAACCAGCCGCGAATATGCTAATCAAACATGGGATATTTAAATCCTGTGCTTCATTAGCAACTTCGATATGCTTCATTTGCCTCCCTAGTTCGAACTAGGGGGCAAGTGTAGACATACCCTCTGAGAATAAGGAATATATATTTAAACTTGTCATCACATTTAAATTTCAGACATCACAGTTTTGTGGCACGCCTCAAATATGGGAGTGCCAAATCCCAGATTAACTCTAATTTTGCTCTTTGTTGTCGCAATGGCTATATCTATTCGTGCAGTAGGGCTTGACTCTTTTCCCATTTAAGTTGATGAGACTTTTGGCATTGACTTCACTCGGAAGTGGGATCAGACCCCAAAAGACTACCTTGAAAGTTGCATGAATAGAAGCAGTTGATAATCTCCTTTCATGATAGTTACAGATTTTTTTATTTTTATTTTTATTTTTATTTAAATATTTTTATCCCGCCTTTCTATTTAAAATATTAAAGGCGGCAAGATTCTTGCCATTCAGTCAGCTCATATACGGTCTGGTTTTGGATTAAATCTCATATAGGAAATTCAGAACTATACATGGCCAGACTTGCAGCTTGCTCTGTCAGAGAAACATTAGCTTCTGCTGCAAGTTAGCAAGGAATAGGATGTTGCTGGGTCGTTTCTATAGTGTGCTGACCTAAAGTGTGTCTACACTGCAGGGCTTAACTCGAAATAAGTTACATAAATTGAGCTACATCAATTGAATAGCTTATTTTGAAATAGGGAGTGTCTACACAGCACTTATTTTGAAATAGAACATGCTTCCCCCGACTTCCCTTATTCCTCATGAATGAGGGTTACAGGAGTCGGGAGTAAGAAGTCCTCCAGCTTGATAGTATTTTGACACTATTTTGAAATAACTGCCTGCTGTGTAGACATGAACTAAGTTATTTCAGAATATCTCTAGTTATTTTGAAATAGTGTTGCAGTGTAGCCATACCCCTATAGACAAAAGGTGAAGTCCTGGCACCATTGTAGCAAGTGGAAGTTTTTCCATTAGCTTCCGTGGAGACAATATGTTACTCGTATTAACATTGCTGAAGAGCCTCAGACAAACAGGTTCCTAGTTTTAAAATGGTTGAATTTTCATTTGTAAAAACATAACATGATTTATGGAAGCAAGTTACTGTGAATTAAAGGGTAACTCCACCCACTTGCT